GGTTTACTTAAACCCAAACCCAACCCGACCCGATGAATAGTGTAGCGGATTTAAACTCAAACCCGACCCAAAATCCATCAACACGGATTTTACCCGCGTTGACCGGATTGGGTCGGGTGGATACCCGTGGGTTCGGGTTTGTTGTCATCCTACTCATTCGGGTACCCTTTAGTTGCAGAAAACATGGAGGAGTGATTCCTTATAAAAAAAGCTTAAAAGGAAGCATGCTATCAGCTAGCTAGCTAGCTGACCAAAACAAAGAATATGAATGGTATTATAAGTTTATAACTATAGAACCTACACTTTTTATTCGTGTGCATCATCGTGGAATCAATGTACTATCAAAATTAAAGTTGCTCAAAAAAGGCTACAACCTAGCATAACTTATTTGCCATACAATAACATGGTTTTTCACGTGAAAGCAAAAACAGCTGAGTAATTTTCCAGAGCGTCACGATAGTCATGTATTTATTGATTATTTTTAATCAGATATGTACAAATATAGTGTCGACACTAATAATCTCGATTGATAATAAATTTAAGAGCGTGCATTAAACTTAAGGCAAAAAACTTATTCTCATGTTATCTCCACATATCTTGCTTAGCATACCGAATCTAGCTATTAGGCTCAGTTACTTGTTAGGTAACAATTTTGATAATCACAATCATATATTCATATATGTTCCCTTTACGACTCGTGTATTTCCAGACTTGGAAATTATGTAGATATATTTTGATGAGATATGGAAATATCTCGTTGCAAATGGGAGGCAATACACACCCTTTCCCTATTTCGATCAAGACCATCCTTGACTATCTCACTCTCAGTCACTCCATTTCTTGAATTATTGGGCCACTCTTTATCTTGGGATCCCTTTATTCTCCATGGGAGAGTGACAAAAGTCTCCATTATATCAAATCTCCATCTTCAATCATCTACCTTTGCTTTGCACTTGCGAGCCATGCCCATGGTTTGTGGAAAAGGGCACTCCTAACTCACCCAAGGTAACCCTAAAAACCGCCCCCTATAAGCCAAAACCCCACCTAGAGTTTCAATTTGTATGGTCATTGTCAAGTTAAACTCGTGCTATGATTAACATCCTCCAAAGGGTAGTAACTACTAGTAGTAACATTCGATCACATTGGAATCTTGGAGCAAATGTGATAAACTAACTAAAAAAAGGGGAAGCTAAAGCTAGCTACTTATGAAAGATACCACCTTCTTAGCCTGACTAATATTAGAAGATTCCAACTAGGTCATTTTCAAAGGATCCACATCTTCCATGGCCTGCCCACTTGCGAGTGTTGGTCCGTTATATATGTGACAGCCAAAGCACCATGGTATAGTTAGTGGACAACAAGGTATGGCCAATGGGCTGATAACCAAAAAATTTCACGCTAGGGCTAATTGGGATTGTTGGTCTATGTTCTTGGTTGTGTATATTCAAGATACCTACTCATGAATGGAAGCACTACATATAGTTGCTGTTGAATTTGGCAATGGAATCTATTTTGTTGATGTGCTTTCAATATTGTCAGGCTAAGTTGCCTCGTGCTTTTTCTTCTTTTACATCACTTAATCATTCCATCCAGTCATCATCGTCTGGAATCACGCGAAATGGTGAGTGTTTGTCGCACGGATCAAAGTCCTAATCATACAATTGAAGAACAAGTCCATCGATCAACTACCATGTTGTAATCAGTTTACCTATCTCCATAAGCGGTCATTTTGCGTGACCAAGGTGATGGGAAGGAAGGAAGCTCATGCCGTGGAACAACAAACAAATGAAAGATGATTGGAGGTGGTGAATGGATATAAATAAGTTGGGATCATACTAATTAAAATTGAAAAATATTTGGGAATTTGAGGAACATTTTGCATTTCATGATCGATTAGAGTTGGTACATAATTGATGAGAGCGGATTCCATGACTAAGGGGTCCTTAGTCACTTGACTAAGCCCCTCCTAGCCATTAGATATGGACACTTCAATCTAATGGTTAAAAAGTGGGAAGGGCTATTTAATTAATGATAGGGGTAGTTTGGGTATTATGGAAAACTACGAAGTATACAAACCGGATTTACAATCAGTACAAACCATACAAACATAAGAACAGTACAAACTAGAGCGATAAAACATACAAACAGATTTACAAACATTACAAACGTATGAACTGTACAAACAATACAAACTAGACCGACAAACAATACAAACCATACAAAAAGAAAAAACAACCGGGTTGACTTTGGAGGCTCCATCCCTATATAGAGGGGCTCCTTCCCAAAGTCAACCCGGGTGTTTTTTAGACATACAAACATGGTGGACAAAAATGACAAACTAGACCAAAAATTATACAAATTGGAAAAACACCCGGGTTGACTTTGGAGGCTTCATCCTTATATAGAGGGCTCCTCTCAAAGTCAACCCGGTTGTTTTTTAGACATACAAACATTACAAACATGGTGGACAAAAATGACAAACTAGACCGACAATCCATACGAACTGGAAAAAACACCCGGGTTGACTTTGGAGGCTTCATCCCTATATAGAGGAGGTCCATCCAAAAGTCAACCAGGTTGTTTTTTAGACATAAAAAACATTACAAACATGGTGCACAAAAATAACAAAGTTTACAAACATTACAAAAAACCCGACAAACATTACAAAATAACAAAGCATACAAACATTACAAAATATGTCAACAAACATCACAGAATTAGCATTGTCGCCGGGAAATTATTCTCCGTTGACGATGGTTGTCGGAAAAAATCTCTCTCTCTCTCTCTCTCTCTCTCTCTCTCTCTCTGTGCCAACAAATAAATCCAGGGCGCCAAAATTCCCCAGCAGAATAACAATGCCCCAACGAAATTTCTCCCGATTAAATTTCCTCTCCCTTCTCTCTAGAACTCCAAAAGTTTCCTTTAGGGGGCTGCCGCCGGCATCCTTTGAGGACCGGCGGTGGCCCAATTTTTCATCTTTCTACTTTCTTCCTCCTTTTCCTTTGCCCCGTTCTTTGCTTTTCCCTGTTTTCCATATGATTTTGCGGCCCTTGTTGGCTTTTTCCCTGCCGTGATGGCGTTTCCTTGTTCCCTAAGTGGATCGATCTACAAACCTCTCTAGATGATATGGTTTGTTCTTGTTCCGATCTGACGTGATCAGATCTCCGCCAGCTCTTCTGGGTCCGGATGATGCAACTTCGAAGATAATCCGTTTCCGTCAATGTTTTGGTGGCGTGGGTACTTCAAGTTGGTGCGTTTATCGTTTTAACGATGATTTCATTCTCTGCTTTCCTCTCGTCGTCCTCTAGGTTCGTCGTTGGTGGAAGGCAAAGTCTTGTCCGGCGGCTGCAGCGGCTCTCCTTTGTTCTTTGAGGTAAGGGTTTCCTTTAGGGTTGAGGGTGGGCTGGTGTTGGTGTTTGTGGGCTTGAGTTTTCAAACGTGTCTTTGGTTTTTTTGTGGGCTGAGTTTTGTCTTTCTTTTCATGTTGAGTTTCTTGGGTGGGCCTCTCTTTTGGTGGTGTTTTGCTTGGGGGTTCACGTGGGGTTTGTGGGGTTCTGTTGGGTTTGGCTTGCAAGTGGGTTTTTTTTTTTGGCCTTTCCTCCTTCTCTTGGGTTTCCCTTTCTTCTTTGGACCAGGATGCTGTCTCCGGTTTTCCCTTGGTCTCTGTCAGCTCCGAGCAGTCCGGTTCATCCATGTCCACCGCCATGTAATTTCAGATTGAGATTCACTGTGATGAGTCATCCTCGAATGATTCCCAGGAGGCGGCTTATGGTTTGATTTGCTCTTTACCATGGTCTTGTTTGCATCGGATGAGCTGGCTCTGTCTTTGTTGCTTCCTCAATAGTGGTGGTTGCGTGAGGGTGTTTGGATGCATTTGTTTGTCTGTGACAGTGGCTCCCTCTCGCCGAGGTTCTCTTCTGCTTCTCTGCTCGTTCATGTTGTATTTTTCCGGTCGGAATGACCCTTTGGTTGATTGGGTGGTTTGCCCCTCTGTGTATCAAGTACCCTCTGTAATCACTATGTTGAATGCAATATAAGCGGCAATCTTGTAAAAAAAAAAGAATAACAATGCCCAGCTCTCTCTCTCACCTGGATACAATTCACTCTCCTTATGTCTCCTGCCCAAAATAAATATACAACAACAACATTAATATAAATATAAATGGACAGTAGAGGAGACGCCGGAAAACAAATAAAAGCCGGCGGGAAATTTTTCCGGCCCGGGGAACCGCAGAAGTCCGCAGCGGTCAAATTGCTCTTTCTTTGTTTATTATCTAAATTAATAAATTAAATAGTCATGCAATTACTATATTGTCCTTTATTAAATTGGATTAATCTGGGCCATTAGATTTTAATGAGGTGCAAGGGTGGAGATGCACTTAGTCATATAACTAAGGGACCCCCTTAGTCACCTCATCTTGGCCCCATAATTGATTGGTGTAGTGATAATTGAGATAATATGAATGGGCCGTCTTTCTACCAATGAAAACTACAATCCAATTTAAATGGGCTTCAGACAGAAAGCCGACCGACAGATGGTTACCCATTGGGCTTTACCTAATTAAACCCAATCAAGAAAGTCTCGTTCAAAAATGAGACCAATCCGCGTCACAAGGTTCAATTCATTCTCAGCCGTCCGTACGCTCTCCATCTACGGTCCAGATCCCTCATTTCCTCACCACCCACAAAATTTCAAGTTCTCCCTCGCAGAGAGCGATCCGCGTCAACTCCTGCTCTAAGCATTCTCAACCGTTGATTCAGCCAAAATCGACGCTCCAGAATCTTCCCCACAGCCTCCCGCCTCGCAAACCCAAAAGAACACGAACGCGGAAAATTTTCAAATTCCCGCTTCTCCAATCCAATCTACTATAAATATATCTCCAGTTCCAACCACTTGACCGCATCATTCCCTCATTTCAAAGTTCTAAAATCCCTAATTACCCCCCAAATTCCAGTTCTAGCTCATCTCCTCTCCTTTCTTTCGACTCTCTGAATCAGCAATGGCCCGCACGAAGCAGACTGCCCGCAAGTCCACCGGCGGCAAGGCCCCGAGAAAGCAGCTGGCGACGAAGGCCGCCCGCAAGTCCGCTCCGGCAACCGGCGGCGTGAAGAAGCCTCACCGCTTCAGGCCCGGAACGGTCGCTTTGAGGGAGATCAGGAAGTACCAGAAGAGCACCGAGCTTCTGATCCGCAAGCTCCCCTTCCAGAGGCTAGTAAGAGAAATCGCCCAGGATTTCAAGACCGACCTCCGCTTCCAGAGCAGTGCAGTCTCCGCTCTCCAGGAGGCCGCCGAGGCTTACCTCGTGGGTCTGTTCGAGGACACCAATCTGTGCGCCATCCACGCCAAGAGGGTCACAATCATGCCCAAGGACATCCAGCTCGCCCGCCGCATCAGAGGCGAAAGGGCTTAAGCTTCCTTTCTATTGCATCGCTCTGTTTTTATTAGTTTCGGTTTAGCGTTTGTGGTTATGAATGTGTATTGATTACTCGTAGAGAAGTTGTATTCGCTATCGAAATTCAATGGAAAATCTCTCAATTTCCTTCTAGATCCGTTGCATCTCCAATTAAATTAAATTATTACTATGTTCTTAATAGGACGTAGTATCATTTGGACCCGTCTGTGGCTTTGGGCCTGGTTATTTTTGGTCCGTATATCTACAATAAAATAAACCCGCAGCGGGCTCCGTTTTCGACCCGATATTTATTTTTGATTTATTTACTCGCCGTTATAAGTTTATGACTGTAGTTAGACTAAAGTCATTTGAAACGAGAATCAGACACCGTCAAAGCAGCGTAGAAGACAGGAAGGGCGACTAGGCGGAAAGGAAAAGCTTTGCTGCGATAGATCTGAAATCTAAGTCAAATGGAGAATCGACGGCCGAATTCGTCGCGGTACAGGAAGCGAGAGTATAGGGAGACGGTTGATGACGACGGCAGTAACGCTGCAACCATGGGCGGTGTGTTGGAGACGGCGAAGGCAGATAGAGCGGTGTGGCTCATGAAATGCCCGTTAGTAGTGGCGAAGTCATGGCAAGCTCACGCCGCTTCTTCCGATTCGCAGCCAGTGGCGAAAGTCGTCGTCTCTCTGGATCCTCTTCAGGCCGACGAACCTCCTCAGGTACTTTTCTTTGTTTGGAGGTTTAATCGGCTGGCAGCTGCTGCTGCGGGGTTTCTAGATCTGTTGAGATTAGGCTTCTGAGTTAGGTCGAGGGAGCTCTTCAAGCTTATATTTCGTCTGGAAACCCTAGGTGTGTTGTAGGTGGCTAGTTTGTCTATGGTGATGTCGCTTTTGACTTGCTATTGGTAGTGCTAGGTTACTGTTTTTGAACTTTTAGGGTTATCTCTGTCGGAAGAGTTAGAATTGCTGCAGAATTAGGCTGATAATGGCAATGGAAGTTTTTGATTCATGCTTATGCCTATGAGTTGCGACATTTGCAGAGGTTTTCTGCCATCATTTGGTATCACGAAATCTGATTCTCTATGTGGTTTCGTCTTTGATTTTCTATTACGCTCTCAGTGCTCAATCATCTGCACTATTATTCCGCAAAGCTGCCGTATATAAGCGGCAGTACTGCAATTAGGTAGTGATATACATGGATTTTAATTTTATCCGGTTGCTGCTTGTTTTACAAGGCTCAGAATCGGTAGCATGTGTCTTATATATTTTCTGTATTTACTGAACAAGTTCATCCTTTTCCTTTTAGTTTGAGCAGTTCTGTTCTGTGCTCTTACTGCACGGAACAATTTGTCGTTTCGCTGAAATGTGTTCATACTATCTCGCGTGTAGTTCAGAATGGAGATGGCAGACAGTGAGACTGAGAATCTACCTAAGAGCTACTCTTTGAATATGACTAAAGACTTCGTCCCTATGTCTATCTTTTCTGAGCCAAATACAGGTCAGCCTCACTTTTCTCTTCTCGAATGTTCAAATAATTTTTCTTTCTGTTGAATTGGATGATTGCTCTAGAAGGCCGTGAAGGTCCTCCACCATCTGATTGGATATAGGAAATTTGGTTCTGCGTAATTTGCTTGTTATTCTGTCGTTCTGGACCTGTTTTGTATTTGGTTTGCTGTAGAGAGCATAGATATGTAGCTGGTTGGATTCTGGTAAGGACTTCAAACTTCTGAATTTGGTGTAGGTGGGATGGTTGCTGTTGAAGGAAAAGTGGATCATAAATTTGACCTGAAGCCACATAATGAAAACATTGAAGAGTATGGCCGGTTATGTCGTGAGAGGACAAATAAATCAATGATCAGGACTAGGCAAATACAGGTATCATAATCCCCCTTAAACTGGAAGCAAAGCTTCATCTGCTCATTAGTTTGGAAGCTTGTAAATGTGATACGGCTGCTACCTGCTCTTTGTGCTATAAGGTGATAGATGATAACCGGGGAATGCATATGAGACCAATGCCTGGAATGTTGGGCTTGATATCATCGAACTCAAAGGTATAGATGTTTTCTTCGTGCTGTGTACCGAGTTACTCATCCCATCCTTTCGCTAAGCCCAATGTTCCAAGCCCAAGTTATTGAAAGAATGATCAATATCATAATCGCCAATTTGATTGGTCTGTGAGCAGGAGAAAAGGAAGCCTCAACCTGTGAAGCAAACTGAGGTGAAAAGAACCAGAAGGGATCGTGGTGAACTAGAGGATATAATGTTCAAGCTGTTTGAGAGACAACCTAACTGGGCCCTGAAGCAGCTTGTCCAAGAGACAGATCAACCAGCAGTAAGCTTCTCTTCCCCCCATCAAAATCTTAACCCTGTGTTGTTAGCCAGTAAGACTTTTTGGTTGTTCCAATCCTTCTAGTCCATACTATTGTGCTGACATCGGAATTTGCTTTTGTATGCTAGCAATTTTTGAAAGAGATTCTTAATGAGCTGTGCGTATACAACAAAAGAGGTTCGAATCAAGGGACCTACGAGCTGAAGCCCGAATACAAGAAATCTGCTGTTCCTGAGCCAGGCGCTGAGTAACCATTTGTGTAGTTATGCTGCAAAATCCGTTTTCATGGTCGCGAATGTGAAGAAGGTAGGGGTTACACTTACTACACAACCCCTTGCTGAGGGAAGAAATAACTTGTTGATTACCATAGATATTACTGCGCCTGACTTGATACACAATCACAAATCACAATGGCCACCTACGATTGTTGTATGTTTTGCCATTATCTTCGCTGCCAGTTCTTAATCGTGGTCATGAAAGTGATGTTTACCATATGCTTCTGTGATTTCGTTTCGTGTTTTTCGATTGATTTGAGCTTTCATCAAAGAGTTGGTTTATACTGTAAACTGGTAGCAGGCAGTGTATCTAGTCTTCCCCTACGTTCTGGTAAATGACGAAATGATAATTAACAATCTAGCTTCATCAAAGGTTTGACTAAACATTATTCAAGTAATATATGTTAAAAAAAAACCATTATTCAAGTAATATATAACTATTTTCACTTTTTGCCTTGTTAAAAATATTGCACTGTATTCTTTTTAGCACGCCCAACATGAGGAGGTGGGGGTTGTTTAGGACCAATAGTGGTCTGTGACTGTGGATACGTTCGTTGCAACCATTGTGGCACTGTCTTGCTAAGTGGGCATTTTTATCATAGAGTGAATTGGAGACTATTGGTTGAAGGCCATAAGTTACAAACATTTCTCATTAAGAGAGACTTCTTATTTGTTTTGTTTTGATTATACTTGTTGTAAGCAAAGTCTAACATCACCCTATGTCAAAAGATATAAGATATGTACATTAACCATCACAAGAGTCATTTTTTTTTTGTAAGTGTGAATCATCACAAGAGTCATTTGTAGCTTAGCCCACAAGATGCTCGAGTTGGCTCATGAGTTGTACTAAAGTTTGCGTGTGAGTCACATTATCAAGCTAAATCGCGCGTTTAATGAGCTTAACAAGACCCGAGTTAGGATAAACTCATTAGTAAATGAGCTAGCTAACGAGCCAACTCATTAAGCAACAAATCGAGTATTAAAAATATGTTTCTTCAGCCGAACATCGAGCCATTCATGAGTGACTTGACTCATTTGCAGCCCTATATGGGCGGCCTAGTCTGCTGCTTTTGAGATCGCCAGCTGATAAGAGAGTCGCCAAGAAAAACACAATATCCAGTAGTTGATCGCCTTGTATTAGGCCATCCTGCCCAGTTTGAAACTGAAAAAGTAGTGAGACGTGAATGAGTTCTAGAAGGAAAGAAAATACCCTAAGATGGAGTGAAGTAGGTGCACCAACAAATCGAATAAGTTGGTTTACTGTAACGCATATGTTAGGTATGGTGTTGCATAGATACTGAATCTGCCTATGAGGGTTCTGTAGTTTCCATGAGCAACTTCATCTAATGGAACACCATCCTAAAAGTTGAGTGCAGGTGTGGAAGGAGTAGTGGTAGGGTTACTTACAAGAAAACCAATATAAGAAAGTATATCTAGTGTATACTTTCTTAGTGTATACTTTCTTTGGCACTGATGAATTCTTTTTGATGTTCTAAATACTTCCATTCCAATGAAGTATTATAATTGTCCTAGGTTTTTAATAGTAAAGGCGTGTCTAGGTGTTGTTTGACTAGTTGTATCTCTGGAAAACTGTTGCATGTGATGATAATGTCATCAACATAAAGGGGCAATGCGGTAAAATATGGTCCAAATGACCACGTGAACAAGGAATAATCATGATGAGATTTCTGGTAATCTAAGGATTCCGATGTTGTGGCTAGTTTAGCAAACCAATATCTGCTAGCTTGTTTGAGGTCATATAAGGATTTGACTAGTTTACAAACTTTGTGTTTGTCAAAAAAGGTGAGTAACTAAGCCAGGTGGCTGCACCATGTAAACCTTTTCGTTTAATTCTCGATGAAGAATGTTGTGTTAACATCAAGTTGCTCAAGAAATCAATTGTCAACTGAAGCTAGAGCCAGTATAATCCTCAAAGTTGTCATCTGGGCAACATGAGAGAGAATGTATCTAGGTAATCTACTTCAAGAGTCTGATTGTAGCCTTTAGCAACTAGTCTGGCTTTGAATTTATTAATGTTGTCATCATGTTTCAACTTAATTCTAAAGATCCACTTATTACAAATGATTGGCTTATCTGGAGGAGGACCAACTAGAATCCAAATTCAGGTTTTATCTAATTAGTAGAGTTCATAATTGATTGCTTGCAACCATTCAATAGACTTGGAAGCTTGCTTATAGGTTTTTAGTACTCTTTGAAGATTAATGGATAGGGCAAACGTTCTGTGTTTTGCACTAAGAGTATTGTAAGTGAGAATGTTCTGAATATGATAAGAAATATTCTCTAAATTATGAGCGGTGCTGCTAACAAGGTAGCATTTATAATTTTTCAGTCTACTAGGTGGTTTTGTTAGTCTGATAGACTTTCTTCTAGGTAGTGAAATATATTCTGTGACTATCAATGGTGCAGTGTTAGTCTGTTGGACTTTCTTGTCGATTCTAACTTTTATTTTAGATTAATAACCCGAAGGATAACCATTCTTTTTGTAACACACCTCCTCAGTATGGTCTGTATATCCACAAAAAAGTACAAACTGGTTTTCCCCCTAGTTTCTTGAAGCCTTGTCCAACAGTTTGAACTCTTAGATTATGCAGATTATCCACAACATCATAGTTGAATGAAGGCCATCAAAAATGTCATTCAAGTTTCTAAGAAACCTAATCACCATATAATTCATGTGATTCTTTCTTTGAGGTGCTAACACACACTGACAGTTAGGGCTAAAATGACAATAAGAGATAGATCGATAGTTGCCTTGATGATTCCATAATGCTCTATGCTTGGAAAAATACTGGGAGACAGTTAATGTATCTCGTTTCAGGGCCGAGAATAATTTTTAAAGATCGCGATGCGAAAAGAATCACCCTATAAGAATTTCTCCCTTAGCTCAGTCCAAGCACACCCAGCTAAGGCGATGTACTGGATACTCTTAAAAAATCATCAGATTGTCCGAGGATTGGATCTAGCTGAGAAGCAATTTGTTGTTGCGATTCCATGGCTCGTATAACGGTAATCCTTCGACCGGAAAAAAATCTGGCCACTGAGGAAACCAAGCTTGTTCTTGCTGTCAAGAACGAGATCACAGAGCACTCTCAATTGGAGAAGTTTGACTCGTTGAGTGGTTACGATACCGAAATCTCTCCCTAGTTCTCGCTCGGATGATTAAGGAACGAACTGGATGGATTCGCCATCGAAACTTCATGATGGCAAGAACTAGACAATCCTCCTTTGCACGGTATAAAAATGGCGCATGTGACAAAAGAATCGATGAATGCTGCCTGAGGAGAACATATTCTAGGGTTTGACATGAGGAAAAGATAAATAGAACACGGAAGCAAAAATCAAGAACAAACTACTCAGTGTAGCTCTGATACCATGATAGATTCTTATAGAAATTTGTATTATTGATAAATTTGCAGTAAGAAATCATACTGATCAATTGAAGATCAGTTGGTTTATAAACAGAGTTTTGGGGGAAAAGGAGAAGAGAGAGTGAGCAGGAAACATCTAACGACTAATCAAACTAACTACAAGACTAACTAGATTAATTACATTTAACCGCCTAAAACATGGAAAATGGTATATTTTCATCTCTGTTTTCAGAACCGGAACGGAGGCTGAACCGAAAAAGTTAGTAGTTTAGGATCCAGTGGTTAACCATTACAAAATCGTTGGTGAACCGTTCATGATATATAACATAAGATTTGTATATTACACTAATTTAACAATGAAATTATCGTTGACCATAAACAATTTCAAATTCATATCATCACCAAAATATCTAATAAATCATTCAAACCATCTCACAAAATAAATCATATTTGTTTATACAAATTCAAAATTACGGTGTCAGTCTGTAATGGACAAGGTAAATTCGACAACAAGGTGTAAATGAGAAGAGGAAGCATATATAAAATTAATAATTATGGTTTGATGGTCTTAGTTTATGTTAAAGTATTTTTTAAACCTTTTTTTTTTGTTAAAATAGTGAACCAGTGGACCAGTTAAACCGTGATGGTTCATCTGATATTATGTTGAACCGTGAAAAACCGTTTGGTCCATCAATAACTGTTCAAGCAATGAACCAGACCGCTATTATAACTGGTTTGACGGTTTTCTATTGATCAGACCGTTGATCAGGTTCGGTTCTTATAACAATGATTTTCATCCTTCCTTACTCTAATATAAGCGTAAAGGCAAGTACATAAATAAAATATAAATACAGAATTGAATTGATATCCATATAAAAGGAAAGAATATTACTAGGATTTTATGTCCATATAAAGGAAATAATATCAATAAGATTTGATATCTCTGTTCATAGTATACATCTATATAAGCCAACAACAAGAACAATTATGTTCATCAAGCATGCACAAAAAATACATAATATAAACCTTTGTACATTCGAGTTGTTAACAGAAGACATGGAAAAGAGTGCAACGTTGAAGTTGGTTTTCATTAATGTTGTGTTATTGTTCGTAGCTAGTATGCATTTGATGATATTGCGTATTGATTGTAACAATTATTTGTATATTGATTTATAAGAGTTTACTAATTGTGAGTTGTGGTTCAAGGTTTGGAAATCAGAGTTGCAGATGGAAGGGGACCCGTAATTTCATTGAGATGCCATACAGTATTGGATTGTGACGAAAACTACGAGCATCTTACACCGTGTAAGATGTGTGTGTGTAGAGAGCACAGGTGTCGTTGTATTCAATATGACGATGGTAATAACATCACTACTACTATTGCTAATAAGCCACCCCAAATCATCAATCCTCCATATCCTATGCATTAATGGCAACCATGACAATGTATTGAGAGATTTCAATGAAAGTGTTATGCTCTGTATACCCATAAGTTTCAAGTATTCTCCCGAAATATAATAACAGAGTTATAATAATATTTTAAGTATTTTTACAATCGTATTTAAATATTTCAAATTTCTCTCTCGAGACAAATTTTCAGTTACCCACTGTAATAATTTGTCTAGTTCATTCTTTTATCTCCTACGGGAATCATGTGAAGAAATCATTGAGGGGTCGTTTGGATAGGAATTCTAACGGATCAATGTGGCTAGATTGTCTCAAAATGAAACAATCTAGCAAAAATAAACCTCAGCGGAGACTCGAAACTCCTCAACACTTCTCCTTTTCGATGTGAATCGCTCATTTTCGAGATCAAAACCCGAGATCAGTGGCTTGTGAACATCGATCTCAACCTTTTCCCGTAGGTACTTGGTAGAGATTGGAGTGTGTCCCAAAAAGTAATTAACCTAAATGAGTGTTTTGGATCGTATTCAACCAGTGTTCAAGAACACTCGCCTAGGCGCTCGCCTAGGCGCGTTTAGTAGCTAGGCGAGGAGAAAAAGTGGAGAGGAAGCCTGGGCGAAATGGCTGGGCGCAATAAACGCGGAATCGCGTTGAACGACGCCTAGGCGGCGAGTAATAGCTTTGATCAGCGATTCCAAGCTCTCGACGACGCCCAGAAAAAAAAAAGATCATGCTGTGCGTTTTGATGGGCCGAAAAGGGGAAAACCCTAATGGGTTCTTCGATCAGTTGAGCCACCCACAGTCGACCGCGCCTCTCTCCTTCGTCACCTCTCTCCCTTCTCCAACAGCCGACCGCTCCAGCCGTCTCCAACAGTCGACCGCCTCCAGCAGGGGGCTTCGTCGCCGGCTCCAGCGTCCTCTCCGCCAGTCGAGTCGCGCGCCGTCGGTCTCCACCATACCCAATCGCCAGCATCGCCAGTCTCCAGCGCGCCGTCGGTCTCCACCATCGCCACTGCCCAGCCGTGACTCGTCCTCGCCGTCGATCTGTAGCATTGAATTTGAAGGTACTCACTCTTCTTTCTCTTTAGATGTGCTTTGGGTTTCTAGATGCGGAAATGGTTTGGTTTGGGTTTCTAGCTGCGGAAACAACCGTGTTCTAGCTGCGGAAATGGTTTGGGTTTCTTGATTGATGATTGTGCTGTGTTGAATTGGGGAACTGGAGTGGTGGCGGGGAGTTTTTGTTGAGGAGGGGGAGACATCTGGAAGGGACGAGACAAGTGGCGCTGGAAACTACTAGAAGGAGTGGGGATGGGGACGTGGAATTAGAGAGTGTTTTGTGCTAGCAGATTGCTAATTTAGAGAGTGTTAAAAGTGTTTTGTGCTAGTAGATTGCTAATTTAGGGACATGATTTGAAAGGCTACTGAAAATGTGTTTTGTGCTTACAGGGGCTGCTTGTTTTTTTGTTAAATGGAGCAGACAGAGGCTATTGTCACGGCTTCAACGGTTGAAAATGTGAACTCCTTGAAGAGGAAGTCTGATGATATTGGTTGGCAATATGGAAAGCTTGTCGATCCAAACAACAAGGATAAAGTCATGTGTAACTTTTGCAAGAATGTAAACTCAGGAGGAATTAACCGTTTCAAGAAACACATAGCTCAGGTTGGTGGTGGAGTTGCCAAGTGTAAGAGTTGCCCAAATGAAGCTAAATTGGCATGCTTGAATTGGTTGGAAGGAACAGAAAAGAAGAAGCAGGATAAGGTTGTTCGTGAGCTAGGTTTGAGAAGTGATGTTAATGTCTCTTCCGGTGGACAACAGGAAGAAGACCTTACTTGTGCAGGTAGCTCTGAACCTCACAAGTTAGGTCCTATAGACAAGTGGGCACGTGCCATTGATCCTAGCTTGTCTTCGAGTGCATCATTTCAGCAACAAAAGATAAATCAAGCACTTTTTAATGAGAGGACACTTCAAGTCCATCAATATATTGCAAAATGGGTGTACACACATGGTTAGTGAATAGCTATACCCTTTACTTCTTTCTTTGATGCACAATTTGTTTTTCTAATTTACTCCTGAATTTATTTTGTAGCTGTTGCATTCAATGCCATTGAGAATGATGAGTTCAAGCAAATGGTTGAGGCTATTGGTCAATTTGGTCCTGGATTGAAGCCTCCTACACAGTATGAGCTTCGAGAGCCTTTGTTGAAAGCTGAGTATGCAAGGACTAAGAGCTTGTTAAGTGATCGAGAGGCGGAGAAGGAAAAGAATGGTTGCTCTATTATGACTGATGCTTGGACAGACATGAAGAGGTGAAGCATCATGAACATAGTCACACATTATGCCGAGGGAACCAGCTTTATAAAGTCGAAGGACACATCAGCGATTTCTCACACAGGTGAAGTAATCTTTGAGCTAGTGGACAATGCAATAGAGGAAGTTGGAGCTGAACATGTGGTGCAAGTGGTGACAGACAATGCTTCCAACAATATGGCAGCAAAGGCCCTCTTGTTGGAGAAGAGGCCGAACATATTTTGGAGTTCTTGTGCAACCCACACCATCAATTTGATGCTCCAAGGAATCGGCAACATACCAAGGTTCAAGAAAATTGTAGATCAAGCTAAGGGGTTCACCATCTTCATATATGGCCACCACCGCACCTTGGAATGCATGAGATCCTTCACCAAAAAGAGAGAGATCATCCGACCAGGTGTGACTCGATTTGCTTCTCAATTTCATACTCTACAAAGTTTGTTGGATAAGAAATATTCTTTGAGGAAGATGGTGGTGGATGCGAAGTGGGAAAATATTAAGGAGACGAGTTCAAAGAAAGGCAAGGAAGCTTATGACACGGTTCTTAGTGTTAGGTTTTGGAATGGTGTGGAAATCTGCTTGAAAGTCTTTGAGCCATTGGTGAAGCTTCTTCGATTAGTGGATGGGGATGTGAAACCTTCTATGGGTTTTGTGTATGGTGAACTTTTGAAGGCAAAGAGAGAGATAAAGGAGGCGTTTAAGAATGAAGAACTTCGTTACAAAGAAGTCATTGCTATTGTGGAGAAGAAGATGAGAGGCAGACTTGATGCTCCATTGCATCTAACGGCATATCTTCTCAATCCTCACTACAGTTATGCCGACTCCTCAATATTTGACAATGTCGACATTACAACATTGATCACTTGTGTTGAGCAATTCTACCATGGTTGTGATGAGGATATACATGATGAGGTGGTGAACATTGAGTTCACAAAATTTCAAAGGAAACAAGGACTCTTTGGAAAAAAGATGGCAAAGAATTGTGTAAACTTTGACTACAATCCTGGTTAGTACTTCTTTCCACCTTCCTTGTAACTTATGATTTAGTGTCGTTCACTAACTTAGAGTTAATTAATTTCTTAGTGGCTTGGTGGAGAATGTATGGAAGTGAGACACCTCATTTGCAAAAGATGGCTATAAGGATTATGTCATTGACCTCAAGTTCTTCTGCTTGTGAGCGAAACTGGAGTACTTTTGAGTCGGTTAGTAGTTTTGAATTTGTGTCCATATGCTATATAGTAAAAGTAGATATTAGATGGAAGCTTGTATAATTAATTGTCCTTGCAGATTCATACCAAAAAGAGGAATAGGCTTACTACAAGTCGCATGAATCAACTAGTGTACATCCAGTTCAACTCTAGATTGATGTCCAAGCAAAGGAAGATAAAAGAGAGGAAGAATGTTGATGTTCTCATAAGTTCTGATTCAATTGAAGCACAAGGCTTTCTATTTGAGGGAGGAGATAGTCACACTTTGCATGTGTTTGGTGATGAAGATGGTGAAGGTTTCGATGGCATTCCATGGAATGTTATTGATGAGGCAAGGGGAGCTAATGAGAATCTTCAACCTCGCAGGAGTGCCAGATTAGTGAGAGACCTTGCCGATGAGGAGTTTGAGTATGAAGAAGAAGATGACGAGGAAAGTGAGGCCATTCATTTCGAGGAGGATGAGGAGGATGTTGTGGTTAACAAGAACTATATGGATGAAGATGATGAGTGATCAACTTGGAGTTTATTAACTTGTCATCGCCTTTATGGCTTATCTTAACATTTGTCATGTTTTATTATGTTTGTTTCCTTCTATGTTACTACTTGAATGATTGTTATCTTGAATATTGTCAGTTACAGAACTGCAAATCAGTGAACTTATGAATGTTATGTTTGATTTTGCACTCTAATCTTACATATTTATCATTTTTTTTCGACGTTTAATCTCGCCTAGGCAACGACTAATCGGCCTGGGCGCTGGGCGGTGCCTCCTCGCCTAGGTGGCGCCCAGCGCCATCGAAACTTCATGATGGCAAGAAGTAGACAATCCTCCTTTGCACGGTATAAAAATGGCGCATGTGACAAAAGAATCGATGAATGCTGCCTGAGGAGAACATATTCTAGGGTTTGACATGAGGAAAAGATAAATAGAACACGGAAGCAAAAATCAAGAACAAACTACTCAGTGTAGCTCTGATACCATGATAGATTCTTATAGAAATTTGTATTATTGATAAATTTGCAGTAAGAAATCATACTGATCAATTGAAGATCAGTTGGTTTATAAACAGAGTTTTGGGGGAAAAGGAGAAGAGAGAGTGAGCAGGAAACATCTAACGACTAATCAAACTAACTACAAGACTAACTAGACTAATTACATTTAACCGCCTAAAACATGCAAAATGGTATATTTTCATCTCTGTTTTCAGAATCGGAACGGAGGCTGAACCGGAAAAGTTAGTAGTTTAGGATCCAGTGGTTAACCATTACAAAATCGTTGGTGAACCGTTCATGATATATAACATAAGATTTGTATATTACACTAATTTAACAATGAAATTATCGTTGACCATAAACAATTTCAAATTCATATCATCACCAAAATATCTAATAAATCATTCAAACCATCTCACAAAATAAATCATATTTGTTTATACAATTTCAAAATTACGGTGTCAGTCTGTAATGGACAAGGTAAATTCGACAACAAGGTGTAAATGAGAAGAGGAAGCATATATAAAAATAATAATTATGGTTTGATGGTCTTAGTTTATGTTAAAGTATTTTTTAAACCTTTTTTTTTGTTAAAATAGTGAACCAGTGGACCAGTTAAACCGTGATGGTTCATCTGATATTATGTTGAACCGTGAAAAACCGTTTGGTCCATCAATAACTGTTCAAGCAATGAACCAGACCGCTATTATAACTGGTTTGACGGTTTTCTATTGATCCGACCGTTGATCAGGTTCGGTTCTTATAACAATGATTTTCATCCTTCCTTACTCTAATATAAGCGTAAAGGCAAGTACATAAATAAAATATAAATACAGAATTGAATTGATATCCATATAAAAGGAAAGAATATTACTAGGATTTTATGTCCATATAAAGGAAATAATATCAATAAGATTTGATATCTCTGTTCATAGTATACATCTATATAAGCCAACAACAAGAACAATTATGTTCATCAAGCATGCACAAAAAATACATAATATAAACCTTTGTACATTCGAGTTGTTAACAGAAGACATGGAAAAGAGTGCAACGTTGAAGTTGGTTTTCATTAATGTTGTGTTATTGTTCGTAGCTGGTATGCATTTGATGATATTGCGTATTGATTGTAACAATTATTTGTATATTGATTTATAAGAGTTTACTAATTGTGAGTTGTGGTTCAAGGTTTGGAAATCAGAGTTGCAGATGGAAGGGGACCCGTAATTTCATTGAGATGCCATACAGTATTGGATTGTGACGAAAACTGCGAGCATCTTACACCGTGTAAGATGTGTGTGTGTAGAGAGCACAGGTGTCGTTGTATTCAATATGACGATGGTAATAACATCACTACTACTATTGCTAATAAGCCACCCCAAATCATCAATCCTCCATATCCTATGCATTAATGGCAACCATGACAATGTATTGAGAGATTTCAATGAAAGTGTTATGCTCTGTATACCCATAAGTTTCAAGTATTCTCCCGAAATATAATAACAGAGTTATAATAATATTTTAAGTATTTTTACAATCGTATTTAAATATTTCAAATTTCTCTCTCGAGACAAATTTTCAGTTACCCACTGTAATAGTTTGTCTAGTTCATTCTTTTATCTCCTACGGGAATCATGTGAAGAAATCATTGAGGGGTCGTTTGGATAGGAATTCTAACGGATCAATGTGGCTAGATTGTCTCAAAATGAAACAATCTAGCAAAAATAAACCTCAGCGGAGACTCGAAACTCCTCAACACTTCTCCTTTTCGATGTGAATCGCTCATTTTCTAGATCAAAACCCGAGATCAGTGGCTTGTGAACATCGATCTCAACCTTTTCCCGTAGGTACTTGGTAGAGATTGGAGTGTGTCCCAAAAAGTAATTAACCTAAATGAGTGTTTTGGATCGTATTCAACAAGGCCTTCACATGTCTCTATTTTAGCCTCACTACCAGTGTTTTGAGTAAATAAGTGAGGTTGAGGTGCCCCTAATGTCGTTACTACTAAACAAACAAAGAGTATGAGAGATTAGAGGTACAAGCAGCAAAGCAAAAATGCATAAAATTAAAGAAAAGGAGCACAGAGTAGTGAGTACTAAGTCAAGGGTGTAGGAAATCAGGAAGTAAATGCGTTGTCTAGGATAGTTTCACCCTAAGTGATTGACAAAGGTTATGCCTAAGAATATATCTAGTTAAGGTTGTTTGGCTAGGATTTACACTACTTCAATTTTCTAAGGACATACCCCTATATGAAAGGTCTTGTATGCAATAAGGGTAATTAAACTTACTCCTCTCGTAATTTGAGTAAAATAAAAGGTATGACATACCCTAAGTAATAAAATGATATCTAAACCTTGAATTCACTGAAGTCTGGGACATGATACTATACCCTAACACTTAAAGATTAAAATATAGGTCTTAGTTCCCAAAATCTCATATACTAAGATCATTTTAATTAGAAACAATAATCGATGGTCATGATGCTTTGAAATACATCCAACAAATTATATGCACCATCTTAGTGTTTAGGGTCTATGGTTTAGATAATTAAGACCCAGAGTTCACTCAATAATGGTTAAGGTATAGTATCATGCCCTAAGATCCGGTTAAAGGGCACTCATTGCATTTTTTTTGGTGAACTAGCGAGGTGCTTAAAGGGCGACCAACTCTTAGATACTAATAAAACAAGGGGTTTAAAACTCCAACTCTTAGTTGCCACATCACTCATTCAACGGTCAACTATTAGAGTTGACAATCAGATTAGAAAAACTTAACGAAGACTAACGGAGAGTGACCAAACTTGAACAGTAGAACTAATCTTAGTGACCACGAATGGAACAAAATATTTTTAATGGCCAAACGTGAAATTTGTAGTAAATTCAATGACCAAACTTGCAATTTACGCCATAAATAAATAACATAAAAATTTCTTTCAATTAGGGATTATTGTGTAATAAATCGATTTTATATCAATCAACTAAAAGATGTGAATTTTAGTGCAATGGCAAAATACCATTATACCATCTCAAGATAGTAAATTCAGTCCCTAACATAAGCATACAATTGGGAAGTTTTTTTTATCAAAACTTACACGTGTCCTGTGAGGCTGTGACAGAGCCCAATCCACCTCCCTCCGCCTATGACAGTGAGCTGAAAGCTCCCGAGTGACCACCGGCGACGGAGACGACATGAGATTAGAAGCATTGCTACATGAAAATGCTTTAAGATAGGGTGCATAACCAAATTCGGACCCTTAGTTTGAATGGGGCCAAAATAGTCCATATCTAAGGGTGAGAATTAATTAGCTTTTTATTCCCCTAGTTTTATTAATCGGCTCTAATCTTTTTTGTATTAACTTTGATTTCATTTTTTTCTTCCATAGATTGAACGAGTTCGTTATGATCTACAAAATGATATCTATTTTCAATATATTTCGAGAGAAATCATACCACTTGTTACCATCTTCGTTTTTAACATAAACTTTGAAATTTTTTGCACAGAAAGAATGAATTCAATGTGATTTATTGGATCTACAAATTCTGAAAAAATACATGAACAAAATATACCACTCTATACCACCCTAGTATATAGGTGGTAAGTGGTAACTGGTGGTAAATCACGATGAATGTAATGAATGACAGTTCATATATTCGTACTATCATGTATTCAAGCATTCTACACTATGATTGTTCATACCACCATGATACACTTTCATATCACGTTGTATGATTATATGTAATACCAAACATTATGATCATGGTATATACTTGTAATTAATGCTTTAATTTTCCCCCCAAAATATATCTAAGT